TTATGCCAACGACATGGATGAGAGGGACCGGCACGGGGATGGCGGACTGCTCATTTGCTACCATTACCCTTCTCTACACCCCTTTCCTTTGATGTGGACGATATGGGGTTACATCCATCATCCAAGCAATGAGGAATTTTGCAGATCGACACCGCTTGCAACATTGTCATCGTCTCAAGCATGCCGTGACGATCTTCGTAATGACAAAAAAAGAGTGCAACCATCATCCTCGTAATGACAAAAAAAGAGTGCAACCATCATCCTCGTAATGACAAAAAAAAAGTGCAACCATCAAGTCAAACAGGCAGGACGATCACTTGCATCTGACACTGGCTCATATGACACCTTTGCCTCGAGATTCCGACTTGCCCCCCGCCGCCCGACCATTCACAGCATCTCACATCTGCCGCGATTCAGCAGCTGCAGTCCCTGAGCCCCCCTTTGGCCCCCGCCCTCAACAGCTCGATCGACACCTCCAGATCGTCGAGAAGGGTCCACTGTGCAATGTGCTGACAGACCCTGAGCACAGCCATCGTTTGGCTGGCTTTGCCGTCCAGCGGGGGCCACCAGCCTGACGGTCGTTGCCCCATCGGGCGCCCTCTTGCAGCAACCTTTTTTCGTGAGGATGGAGCATAGGGGTCCTGTCGCGTCCTGCCGGGGTGCGGCGCGCGGCATTGGGCTGCAACAGACAGAGTATACGACTTCACCGTTCACCGTTAGGTCATTCAAGCCTTGGCGCCAGGGGCACACGAGGCTGCACAGGGCGCCAGAAGCAGGCCGGCTGGCGAGCAAGCGAGGTTGAGCAGCTGGCTGGGCAGGCCAACATCTCCGCGGCTCGCCCCAGCGCCATACGCCATACGCGTAGACGGCATAGTGATAGCGTAAGCGCCAAGCAGGTAGGTCAGCGTTCAGAGACAGACGATTTCTTCCACCGGTTCGCATCCTCGCAAGGTCATGTGTCGGAGAGCCAAACAGCCGAGAGACGGCCCGGCAAGCGGCCGGCGGCAA